GCCGCCGCCGCCGCCGCCCCCTTCCTGCTGGTACTTGCAATCCCGCGAGACGTGCCCAGCTTCATTGCAATTGTAGCAGACGATGGGATTATCTCCTCCACCAGCGCGGCCACGACCTCTCGAGTATCCTCCTCCGCCTCCGCCGCCATAGCCGCCGCCGCCACCACCATAGCCACCAGCGCGGCCTCCGCCACGAGGACCGCCGCGTGGAGGTCCGCCGCCGCCAACACCGCCGCGCCCTCCTCCTCCTCCTCCGCGAGATCCAAAGCTGGATGGAGCTCCCTGGACGTGGCTGCCGTCAGGGCCCGTGACATCCGCCGCTCGCATGCGCTGATCCTCGCCTTGCTCTACGCTGAACTCCACGATCTCACCCTCGCGCAGCGACCGGAAGCCCTCGGCGAAGATCGCCGATTGGTGGACGAAGAGCTCCTCGCTTCCATCGTCGGGCGTGATGAAGCCGAATCCCTTGGTGACATTGAACCACTTGACCTTGCCTGTGCGCTTGGCATCCGCTGGAGACGCCATAGCTCGCGCTCGAAAGAAGAAGAGAACAAAGAAGAGGCCTTTCTTGGAGCGAGGCAAGATTGGAGCAAGAACCAGAAATTTCGGCCAAGGATCCCCACAAGAATGCAGCGATCACAATGCCAGGCGCTACTTCTCAGGCGCGCGCTCGTGACGAAATCCCTGCGCTAAAACTTCCCGCGATAAACCCTAAAATAGCGAAGAACAGGGGACGGCCATTTTAAAGTTGGGAGCGCGACGGACTGTTCCCGCCGGCGGCGTTGTTTAGTTACAAGGGGATGGCGACAGGTGGCAAGCTGGCAGCCGTAGAAAAGCACCACGCCACACTCTACCACGCTCTATTATTGGTTCGATTCCCAACACCCAAACAGAAAGGTACGAATATTCATTTTCGGTGTCAAGATTCGTTTAAATTAATTTTGTGAAAAGTAGAATGAAAGTGGTCTAAAGTAATTTCTTATCACTAAATAATATGTAATAAATTAATAAAGAAAAATATTTCTAAAAGTAGTTCTAAATATATGAATGAGTTTTGTGTAAAACCAAGTGTATGCTTTAATATTAGAAAATAAAATAATTTCAGAATGTTCTCGTCCTCATTTGAAAAACATACTAAAATTCTTTTATTTTTTCTCTAAACTTGAAATCATATAATAAATATAAAATTATAGTTTTAAAACTTTATTATTTATCGAAAAGATAGCAAACACATGTTATAAAATATTAATGGTTTTAAGAGTTTTGAATTATAAAAGTAATATTTATAAAAAAATTAATTTATACAATATAGTGTGTATACTTTATTATCCTTTAACTAAAGTTAGAAAAAACTATATATATATTTTATATAAGATAAAAATAATGGGATTAAATGTATAATAGTGGTCCAAATATAAATTTTATTTATTTATAAATGATATTAAATTCTTATTGTTTAGTTAACTATTATATATTTAGTATCTCTATATTTATTAAAATGTATATTCACTACTACTAGCTATGGTAAAATTTTAACAAAATAGATAACAAATATAAGTCTCAAAAGTTTATAAAAAAAAGCATGCTACCAAAACTATGGATTCATGTGCATTTATGGATTCAGTTTATAAAAATTATTTTACATTTAAATTTAAAATTGTAAACTTTATGTTTTATGAGAAAAATCTAAAAATAATTTTGTGATAGAATTTATAACATTAATATATTTTCTAAATATTTTTGCAAAACTATTATTTATATTACTAAATAAATAAATTTTTTTAAAAAAATATCAAATATAAATTCCTAAAATATATATATATATATATATATACATATATATATATATACTTATATAATATATTATTTATAATTTACAAAAGAATTTTATTCAGAAATAAACTTAAAATTTCAAAATGTATTATGAGTGCATGAAATATGGAAATGGAATACAAAAATATGCATATCAATTAGCTCAAAAACCCTAGATTATATGGTCTAAATTGAAACCAACTTGACAACTATCAAAATCCCATTATGTTAATATTAATATATAACATCATAACTGTATACTTGGACTTCATATCATCCCTTCCTCTTGGAATGATAGAAAACTATCAAAGTTCTCTTATGTATGGGCTAAAATCTAGAAGAACATTAAAAAGAGGCATCAGTGTGATGTTAATTATTTTTTATCCCTTTGTATAAAGTGTTTCAATTGTTATATGTGCATAATTTTTAAAGGATCAGAATGGAGTCCTTGGGCGTGTCAACCTAATCCTTTGATGAAGTTTTGTAGCGCACGTGGTTTTTACCTTTTATCCTATGGTGATTTACCATAGGATAACACCACGAAGCGAAACCTAAACCCTCTTTGTGCCATGTGATAAATGCCACATGTCACATGCCACGTGTCCAAAGGAATGTGGTGTGGAACCTGAGGTTCAGGGCCTTGGGCCACTGAACGAAGGAATAGTGCCAAACTCCCAAGTGTGAAGCCAAGGACTGATGGAACCGGACCATGGAGCAACTCCCGAGCATATAGCCCAAGGAACGAAGGGACAGGAGCCCGGAGTGACTTGCAACAGTCCTGGAACAACCAGCATCCCAATGCCAAGACCAGCACGCAAAACGGAGCCAAACGGAGTCTGGCGTTATTTTGATATACCGGTGGCCTAACGTGAGGATATGGGTACTCCACTAGCTAGCATGGAATGGAACTTGGGCTTAGACCCAAGCCGGATGCAGAACAAGGACAGGCACACAAGCGGGAGTTAGATTATGCCTCAGGTTGGTGGGCCATGCCCGACCTACCCACTATCCCTACTATACATTTGGAATCCCCCATATCCCCCCCCCCCCCCCCTTGAGGAACACACGCTTTGGGCTTTCACCCCAAGCCTCCCTTAGTATCAAGAGTTAGTCTCTGGGACAAGCTTGAAACTTACTAAATATGGAATGTCTTTAAAGAAATAACATCCCAACCTATCAGAATTAACTCGAGCAACAATCAACAAAACAAAATGAATGTTGCAAAGCAAACAAACACTTGTTCATATTAACCATTGCACTAGCCAATCCGGATAGATCCCAGCCAATAACACCAAGGAAGTCAAGTTGCCTAAGCAAGTGTCAGCAACATCCTACGGATGTCTTAAACCCAAGAGACCAAACCAGAGTAAACCACAAACAACATGTGGTATTGCAAAAAGCCATAAGCCATCAAAAAGAATAACTAACCATCATGAAAGATCATCAATCATCCTATCAAGAAAGAGATACATAATCATCGTCTAATAAGGAATCCAGCATCCTGAAGAATGGCAAATCATTCTATATCAACAATAATCAAGCAAAACCTTTTGACAAGGATAATAAACTATCCTAGATGATAGTCAATCATCACCAATGATTGCTAGATGCAAATACTAACTTCAACATCGAAGCTAGGAGCCAAAATGCCTTCCCCAACAACTTCTAACAAATGTGTCGCAAATGTGACTTCGGGTATCGAAAGTTACCTGTCGACCAGTCTTTATGGACACTCTTACCTTACTGCTACAATGGCAAGAGGTCGGTATTGTTGGACCCTTTATCAGTCCCTCTTGTGCTAGTGGAGTTAACTGGGCATTTCTAGTGTACTTAGACCGGACGAGCATAAGGACGGAATTCTTACGTGTTATTAGCTAAGCATACTTAGCCTGGTAAGGAGTTCCCGTCTCGTTGTGTCTTGCACTTGCTAGTGACAAGAACCCTCGCATATTGAGATTAGTCCCTCAATATCTCTGAATGATAGCTTACCGTGTTTGCCAAACTCCCAAGCACGAAGCCAAGGAGTGACAGAACCGAACCACGGAGCAACTCCCGAGCATAAAGCCCAAGGAGCAAGGGACAGGAGCCTAGAGTGATTTGGAACAATCCTAGAGTAACCAACATCCCAATGCCAGGACCAGCACGCAAAATAGAGCCAAACAGAGTCTGGTGCTATTTTGGCATACCAATGGCCTAACACATGGACATGGGTACTCCACCAGCTAGCATGGTGTGGAACTTGGGCTTAGACCCAAGCCGGATGCAGAACAAGGACAGGCACGCAAGCGGGAGCTACACTATGCCTCAGGTTGGTCGGCCATGCCCGACCTACCCACTATCCCTACTATACATTTGGAACCCCCTATATCCCCCCCCCCCCCTTGAGGAAACACACTTTGGGCTTTCACCCAAACCTCCCTTAGTATCAGGAGTTAGTCTCTGAGACAAGCTGGAAACTTACTAAATATGGAATGGTCCTAGATTGCGAATTTGGCTATTTAGTCATAGCTAGCCTCTTCAAGGCATGCTCAGAGCTAGTGGCTAAATGTTTTAGTGAGCTTATTGCGGTTGAGTTGGATTCGAGTATGAACTTTTATCTCGTACTTAGGGTATTATGTTCATGTTGGACAAGTATATAACTTGATGACAAGAGTTGGTGTTTGGGTCTTGTGAAGGCAAGTTGAGAAGTGATTGTTAGTTGCTTTGCGACTAGTGATTACTTGTAGACTTCATCAAGGACCGTTGACACTTGTTTTGCTCGATGATGATTTAGCAAGTGATGGGCTTGCTTTACCGGATGGTGTTGCGGAGGATCGTGTTATTAGGTTAGCATGGTTTTTCCATGTTGGCATGTCAATTCCTTTGTCAATATCATTTGGTTACGTTTGGTCTATAGTGTTAGATTTCATTGAGTCTTGGATGTGGTGATTCACTCCTTGATGATGTGTTATTTGTAACTGAGTTTTGCTAAAGGATTGGTCTCGGATACTAAGTATAGTATTTTCGACTTTGGTTAGCTTAGTTGCTGGAAAGCTCCGAGTGGTGATTCACTCTTGCTTTCTTCTAGCTTTGTCCTGGTGTTGATGGCATTAAAGTGATGCTTTGTCATTGATATTGTTGCTATTGAGACTTGAGTGAAATGAGATGTCTTTCCTTAGGATTGATATTGAGTTTCATTAGTCTTGATGAAAAGTGTTGATGATTTGGCTTTAGCTTTGTGTTGTGGCATACATGCATTTGCTAGTTAGCAACTGTGTTGATGTTCAAATAAATTGAGTGGCAAGTTGAGTTAGTTGTGTTTTATACGAGATTGCTTAGTTGAGGTTGAGCTTTAGCTTTTCCTTGAAAAGTGATTTAGTTGTGGACTATACTAGCTTTACGAGAGAAAGAATTAGTGTTCGATATTGGAATGATTAAATCCTTGTTGGATTTCAGTTGGGATATAATGATCATTGATGATTTTTCTTCTGCTTGTTATAAAGTGAGTTACGTCTTGCTGTAGATGGATTCATGGAGGATCGTTTAATGATCACTTGTTGGGCATAACTCCATTATGCTTAGCTTTTGGATTGATGCAGAAATGCTCTTCATTAGCTTTGGCATTATGAAGTTTGGCTTATGGATGTGTTAAGGAAGATACTGTGGGTTGCATCACAATTTCTTCTTTAGCATTGAAGTTAGCTTTTATGAGACTTGTGATCATTATTAGGCAAGACTTGGGTATAGGCTTCTTCGAGCTTTTGGTTCCTTGAATTTTGTGCTCATTGTTCCATTTGTTAGAAGTTGTTAGGGAAGGCATTTTTGGCTCTTTAGCTTCGATGTTGAAGTTAGTATTTGCATCTGGCAATCATTGGTGATGATTGACTATCATCTTGGATAATTGATTATCCTTGTCAAGAGTTTTGCTTAATTATTGTTGTTGATATAGACTGAGTTGCTGTTCTTCGGGATGGTAGATTCTTTCTTCAACGATGATTATGCATCTCTTTATTGATGGGATGATTGATGATCTTTTATGCTGGTTAGTTATTATCTTTGATGACTTATGGCTTTTTGCAATACCATATGTTGTTTATGGTTTGCTCTGGTTTGGTCTTTTGGGTTTGAGACATCGGTGGGATGTTGCTGACACTTGCTTAAGAAACTCTGGTTCCTTGGTATTATTGACCGGGATCTA